AGACTCCTTCCAAAATACTGCAAGCTTCATATGCATGGAAGCTTCCAAGTTTCCAAAATACTTTCACGACGTCCACGTCCAAATACGTCCAGGACGAACTCCTGCCCCGGCGATATTGATTGCCAGTCGGAGAGAGGAAGGCGTTGAATACCCTCTCTTCACCTCCGACAGTTAGCGTTCAAAGTGGTGTTGAATAAAACATGGCCGGGTGAGGTGGAAGTAGAAGGAATGTTTCCCTGTTGTTAGTCCATCCATCAACCTTTGGTAAATGCTGCTTGTTGGCAGAGACAAATGCGAGACGCTGAAACCGTCGATGCGCGTCCTACCAAAGTTGCGCGCTAACACATATCATTTTATTCCGAATGGCACTTTAAGAAATGGCCTTAAGGCTAGCGCAACTGAATGTATTTTTCTTACCCGCAGTCTGTCCTTTTTTATTGTATTCTTTTCTCCACCAACAACCATAATTGAGATCCCAAAAGGATGCAGTGATAGCTTGTGACGCACGCTTCCTTTCTCCTATACACCATATCGCTTTCTTATATAACAAAATAACGCTGCATCCATTCAAATACCCTTCTTACACAAAGGTCTTCCTCCATAATCTCCATTATTTGCTTGATAAAATGTACAGTTCTCGCGCGTTTATATCGCAATAAGATATCTGTACGTGAGTTACAGTGATAGTGCGATCCCCGGGAACCTTCCCATTACACGGTAGAATCACTCGGCAGAGTCCGTCACATATTCTTCAAACGTGCGGTATTACGGTGACTGAACGGCCTGCGTGCTAACCGCGGTCTGCCGCCTGGTTCTCCATACATGCATGTGAGATTTGTCTGAGCATAAGTGAAGCGTAATGAACTCATCTGATCCTCCGTCGTTCTTCATTAGAGCGTTGTCCCAACTCGCTGATTGTAGCGACTCTAGAACAATCTGGCTGTAACGGTAATAATGGCTCTCTAGATCTGCAATGGAAAAACCTAAGTCAATTACACAGTAAACGTTTTCCTACGTGATTCTACTGTGATAATTTTTATTCCAACATTTAACAGGACATGGTGACGGCACGCTCAAGTTTTTTTCCAACTAATTTTTATGCCGCCACCAACGCAGAGGACAATTGACTTATACGGTCAAATTCACTTATATATACATGCAAAATATCGAATCATGAAAGTGACTGTTACAATGTATATAACGTGAGTGAAAACTTGATAAACAGGTATTTGGCATTTATCCAGGATCTCGTACAGAATCTTCAGAACATTTTTTTCTGGCAACTTGCCCATGATCCTCAAACTACCTGTATCACAGAATCAATGCACACCTAGTAGTCAGATGGATGAATGCTTGCCGTAAGCCTTTCTCTAGGATTCCAGAGCCGTCTGGTACAATGTGTGCAAGCCGGGCCTTTATTCAAGTGCCGACCATCAGGGTAAAGTATTATTGGTGAAGGACGTTAACTGCCTGGGAACCTGCTATCAACATATTTCAACGTTCCGACTGACAAAAGCTTAGTTAAAAGTAAAGTACACATACGCTTGGTCACTGTCCGTTAGTTGACTTTGTCGCTAAATCTTTGTAACAAAATAGAAAGTTCCAACGTAGTGTTAACACAGTATATTCTGCAAACTCAGTGTCTTGCTTTAGCAAGTTTTGTCACTAATGATATAGAGAACTGTAGCATGTAACGAACCATCCACCGCTGAATTCATTTAGTCACTAAGCCCTCACATTTATATCATTTGCAATAAAACACATTATATTCAACGTTAGGTTTCTTTATGCTCCTCTTCTATAATATATTCCTTCTACAACCTTTTCTATTACATGTAGGTGTATTTCTGTATTATATACTGCTTCATATTCAAGGATTAGCTTTGGGTTGTGATTATCTTATTTTATTACCTCCGTGAAAAAAGGAGGTATTGTTATTAGTTTGAACGTGTTTCTAGAATTCTGCAGCCGATATGTGCCCACAAGCTCAAGTTGCAATTAATCACAGCCCCTATGTTACTAGTAATACTAAAACGTATTTCCATCAATGACACAAATAAAACAAGACCATGGCATGTTCAGGACAAAAGATACAAGAACTGGAAATTGTGCTGTAGTACCAAGGTCAGTCAACAGGAGGCCCATATTTGACCTTGACCTTTGTCTTCCTACGACCTACCAACATACCAAATATCATCACAATCCATAACGGCGTTCTGAAGTTACGCTGACTACAAATGTGCGGAAACACACGTACACGTACACACACACACAGACAGACAGACACACCAAAAACAATACCTCCATTTTTCATGGAGGTAAAAACAATATTTTTAAACGCTTTAAGTGTCTCATGGAGGTATGATATCTACTAATTCTTGTCTTTTTTATTTAATTTCAAATAAACGTTACATGTACAAATGCAAAGACATGGAAAAATCCTTGTTAGTCTTTATTTCATAAATGTTGTAAGTTTTTCATGGAGGAATGATATCTACTAATTCCTGTTTGTCTTTTTTATCTATTTTCAAATAAACTTTACATGTACAAATGCTAAGACATGGAAAAAAATTCTTGTTTGTTGAATACTACAGTATCCAGAACAGAAAGGTCGGACTTGTCACTTCCGTATGTAAATTGGATAATGTGGTTATGGATGATCCCCGGGCGATAGTTACTAGCTTCGCGCTCCCGAAAAGCACTTTTAATGAACGGTACGTTTGACGCGACAATTCAATAGAAACTTCTGATGGCTCATTTAAAAGCTCGCGGTACCAGCAATCATCCCTGTCCCTGCGGTTCGTACAAAAAGCAGGCTGCCTGGGTAACCACGTTAGGCCACAGCAAGTAAAGTTTATGGATGACATTCTCTGCAGACTCCAAATTTAATGCGGGCCAAAAAAAAGGTTTCTGCATTTTCAAATTTTGATATTGTAAACCTTGTTGAACAAGAAATGATACCTATATTGTGCTAAGATTACTGAGATTCATTTGTGACTGAAAAATAAAAGTTTTCAATCACTGTACAAATGGTTTTGAGTTAGTGAACATCACACATGAAAGGAATGGAATGCATCACTGCATCAGTAACAGACGAAATAATAAATCAGAACCTTCTCTTGTCTCCTCTCTTCATATTTATCTGCCATCCACGTTCCGGCATAGCATCAGTCATTTTGCCCATTCTCAGCATGTTGAGCACTTTCTTGTTGTTGTTGTTTTTTTTCAAAATCAGGCGAAAATTAATGCGCGCGCTCATGTCATCCATAAAAATTATTTGCTGCGGCCTTAACTTCATTACAGTCCCCATAATGTATGAGTAAGCCGTGTTTCATAACGTGAACATTCTGGGAGCATTATTCTGTTCTATTTCTGTGCATATACTGTATAGCTGGTACAATCGCACCCTTCGGCGTAACGCAAGGGTAAGATATATATTAGATATTATACATGTACAGATAGAGTTATTAGATACGGTAAGCCATAATAAGTATTCTAGGCATACAGTGGTTACTCTTTTTCCTTTGATTCCTGTGGCTTACATGATAGTGTTTTCCTCTCTGGAAACATGGTATTTAATCGATGGTAACGCCCTAGTGACCCCCTTTCCAAGCGGTCGCTCTCACGAAAGTAATTTGGGTGTGCCACAATAATAGCACCTGACTCCGGGGCGAAAAAAAAAAACACAGAGAACAATTATCCAAAGTACCTCTCTCTGTCACTGCATAAAATATTTATTGCTTCGCAATGTACTACCTACTGTCAGTCAGCCTAGAGCATTGAAATCATACGAGATGGTACTGTACACATTTCCTTCACAAATCAGATTCGAGATCAAATTCAAATACATATACAGTATCTACCCTGAAACTGCATGGAGTGCATTTGAATGAATGACGACGACCTCTATTGCATACTTTTGCCTGGTCACAACAAAGCATGATGAACAGATACAGCTAACAGATACAAATTAAAACTAACTATATCATTAGATATATACAATTTTCCCTCGCTTTTTAGTTATAGTAGAGATAAAAGAGCATGTATGTTTGGCGATGGAAGATTTGTCTAGTTGCATTAGGAATATGATTTTTCTACAGGTCTTAAGTGTATGAAATCGCAGCCGCGGTCGACCACTTCGGGACCTTGACCCCTCTTTCAGTTCAGACTATATCGGTCCCACGGCAGTCACTTCTCGGTGTAATGGTGCCCTAAAAACAATGTCCCTCTCAAGGTTGGACCAAAGATAAGCCTGGGGTGCGCTCTAAATTTCTTGTCGATAAGAGTAAACCCATTTGTGATATAAGGTTGCTGGGTTTGTGTTTTAAGGCTAATGGCAAAAAGTTTGTTTAAGGTTAGAGTCACTTTGGGGCATGGATAGAGATGGGAATTTGTCTTTCTAACTCTCTACGTTTAAGTAAACGCCCCCCTTCCCCCACAGGGAGAGAGAGAGAGAGACGGCACACGAACATTGTGACACACAGAGAGAGAGAGAGAGAGAGAGAAAGAGAGAGACGTGCACACACAAACATTGTGACAAACACACACATACACACACACGCATACACACACACACACAGAGAGAGAGAGAGAGAGAGAGTCAAACAAATACTTTGTCCTTGTGCCTTTAGTAGTCTCTAAACGTGTTTAAACCCCACGGCTGGAGCACTACTGGTTTAGCCCCTGCAAGTCAGTGATGACACAACAGTAGCTTGTTGTGTCTGCCAGAAACATTCATGTATCTTTAATGCGGAACTTCTGTTGACAAAAGAATCAACCGACTGTAACAATTTTGGCTATACCATTCCGAAAACTATGTATGCATGCGGTGTGGTCTTAAAGAATCCTTTTTTTAACTGTACATGTACAAAAATGTATGTCCTTGATGTTCGATGTCAAAATATTATCTAACACGAAGAAAACTATCTTATAGTAGGGAAAGTCTTCAGGATTGTAAGATCAGTAGGCCCTCCCCCAGAAATAAGTGGTCTCGTCCGAGCAGGAAGTTGCAGGGCAAGTTCTGTGACACAATTTTGGCAAAACCTTCGCAATCAGCTGTGGACAATGTCTTAAGTCTATAGACCCATACGTCTTAGTCTCCTAAGGTGGTGCATTAAGAAGGTAGGTGTTACGTTGAAGAAGCTACCAGGCTACTCTTAGTGTATATAGAATGGATGGACACACATAATGTACACAGTGGGTGTGTCTGTGGTACATATACGCAGCTACTGGTTACAACATTTACATGCTTATCATGTCAATACAACAAAGTGTGAGTGTGGCATGCCAGCTAAATTATATCGTATTCTACTGTCTGCGGTAAGTACGTATATGAGGCATTTAATCAGCACACAAACAGGGAATGAGCTATCGCAGACTGCCTAGTTCTGCATGCATATACGGAGCCAGTTTATGGAATGTGCGTAGGCATATCCTTAATATAGTAGATGAATCAGCCAGTGACTTAGAGTGTGGTGTAATATTTCAGCCTTCTTAACCGACTATAGCTATATCGCGTGTAAACAGCTTGAGAGCGGGTTTGACTGTTCTAGTCGTTAATACCACATATTCATTACAAAAAACGGGGCGACATGGAGGATAACTTTAGGCGACTGAAGAAGACACATGGGTGGGCTAGTGTATTGATAATGACGTGAACGACGTGGATATAAATGTGTGTATAATTCTAGTTGACGTTTACGTGTCTTTGAGTTATTGTCGAGAGGAACAGAGCTTAATCATTGTCCAGTGTCCTTGGATGAAGGAGTACAGTAGTAATCTTGTTGTCATTGGGAGAGGATTTCATACAAGTTTATAGTAAGAAATGTATTCGATTCGCTAAGGTGGGCTCTAAAAATACTACACGTCTTGTATATATGTATATATCACTAACGTACTAGATTCACTTTGTCTTGTCTTTTACACCCGCATAATCCGAATTTATGTTCCTTAGTGCCCTTACCTTCATTTCCCTTTGTTTTATTTGTACCGGTTACTTGTTTTGTAATTAATACATGTGTAGCTGCTAATGTCCAATTCTTATTGGGATAAGCACTATGAAAGACCAAGGACACGTGGAAGCTCCTTGGAAAGACGAAGAAGAAGAAAGATATCCACAGACAATATATTTGCGTTGTTGACGTTTCGTGGAACACTATACTTGTTTTCGGAAGGGGGGGGGCTAGATCTTCTCGGAGCAGATTGCTTTTAATATTTTGTCTCTGCATGTACATTTGTAAGTCGAAGAAATTCTAATGTAATGTGCAATACAGGTGCTATATATCTTTACTCCAATCTCTTGCTGTTAAAACATTTTTGGATCAGCCCTGGCCTTGACTTTACTTTACATTCGGCTCACGTCCACGCATGAACTGTAGCAGAACGACATGTTTTGTGTGTCCTCCTGAATTATTTATGTGTACCACTAATCATGGGTACTTTGTATCTCGATTAACTGCCCAATACTCACTCATTGGAGCAATTGTTAATAATAAGTGATGCGTAGGGTAGACATGCGTGTGGAATAGCCTTCACTATGCCTATTAATGGCATGGCAATAAGATGTTGCACTGTTTTTTACTACTGACATTCCTTACTTTAGAACGCAATATCCACTCCTGAGGCAATATCCAACAGGTCTTTGATGTGTATTATGGGCGTTTAAAACAAAGCAAAGAGGTTCCTACTCATTTTTTTGGATGAAATATCTACAAGAGTAGTGATAGTAATAGCAATGTCTTTTTGATACTTATATTGGAATAGAGTGGGACGTCAATGATCCTTTGTGCACTGTTCAAATCATCGCCATTGAACTAAGTGGCCCTGTAGCAAAATACTGGAGATGAAACTGGACATTTCAAAACCTTTCTTATATCTACAGAATGGAGAAAAGTTTCTTCCAGGCGTCCCGTGAGGGCGATGTGTCCGGACTGAGGGCATTCCGGAAGGGTGGAGGGGACATCAACATTAAGGAGAAGGGATCGGTAAGTAAGGTTTAAAAATTGCCGGTACATGGTATTATATATAGTCAGTTTTAAGTGTACATATATAGTCAGTTTTAAGTGTACATATAAAAACGATTCTGCGGGTACAATGTTTAATTCCTCACCTACTACAAAAATTTCAGATTGATACCTATGTTGTGAGTTTTTTTTTATATTTTGTTGTTGTATGTTTATAAGTGTTGTTGGTGTATGTTTATATTTTATGTTGTAAATATGTTCATATTTTATGTTGTAAGTTTTAATTTTGCATATTTACGAGTAATTTTTGGTTTTTGTTTGCAAAAGATGAGAACCGCGTTACACTACGCGGCGTCCCGAGGTAAACTCCCGGCGGTAGAGTGGCTGGTGTCCAAAGGAGCCGATGTCAACGCTAAAGACGCGGTACTTTTGTTTTCTAGATTTCATTTTCTTTCTTTACCTATTTTGTTACCCTTTCGTACATTCGCGTTGATGTGTGTATAGATTACTTGTGATCCAGGTACTAATTTAATTGTTAGGAGGAAGATATTGGATGCTGAAAGAAAACTAAAACGCAGACAGGACCACGGTTGACGTTACTAACTACCAAAATGCCTGTTTCCCAACAGCTGAGAAGGACTCCCCTGCACGAGGCAGCCGCCAAGGGCCGGGTCAAGATCTCCCAGATTCTCATTGGGAAGGGTGCAGAGGTGAATGTCAAAGACTTTGCGGTACGTTCAACGTTATGTTCTTGTAAGACAGTAACGACCAAGAAGAAAAAAACTATTCTAGGTCTCTTCCTTTCCAAGTTCTTGAATAACGAATGTATTCTGGCATAAGAGCGATTGACATTTCTGGGCCCAATCTCGAAGTCTGACATGACAGTGCCAACTATTGTAGCTGTAAATGTAGCAGCACATTCGAGACACAGGTTCATGAGACTGAATGTAGCCGCACATTCCTGACTCACACAGGCTCACGAGACGCCCCTCCACAGCGCAGCCGGGCAGGGACGGAACGGCGTGGTGGAGCTACTGCTCACGAAGGGCGGCGTGGTCAATGCCACTGACGAGGTGAGATCTCATACTAAACGTTTGCCATCGCAATAAACAGACAATCCCCAGATCAGAGTCATCCAACCTAAACCAGGGCAAAATGAAATGACAAAAACACTGATTGGTCAATATCTAACTCGAACAGAGCGCCATGCACTAGAGAGGCACAGAAAAAGGTGTAAAAGGAGGAGGATCTCTGTCATTCTTGAGAAAGACGAAAGTAAGTTGAAACCTGTCGAATTCCGTCTCGTCTTGTCATTTTCACAATGCTACGAATGAAGAGAACCCGCAGAAAAGTACACAGCTTTATCAACGTTGATGTGGGTTGAACGTCCAGGTAATATATGAGATACACAAGAAAATCTTTACTCAAGACGCTGGATTAGGTTTAGAAAATTGACCTATGTAGCGTTATCAACTTTTGATGTATGAATCTATTATCTAACCTGATGGTCTAAGCATTTTCTGAGCAGCTCATTTGATTGTTGTTTGGACTATCGTTCTTTTTTTAAGGAACAAAAAACCCCGTTACATCGCAGTGCACAAGGTGGGCACGTGAGAGCAACCCAGATAGTCCTGTCCAAGGGAGGTAACATCAACATCAAAGACAAGGTATGTGGCTATAACTGGCTAACTCTTTGGTATTTGACTAGCACATACTAGATAAAAATTAGGAATCGTTGGCGACCCCTAAGTTAAAATCGTTATCTTAAATACACGCTACGTTTTTTGTTCATCGCCATTTTTCAAAATCTCAGGCGGAGGATGCTCCACTCCACTGCGCAGCCGCGGGGGACCATATCGAGGCTGTGAAACTGCTGTTGAGCCAAGGCGCGGATGTGTTCGCAAGAAATAAGGTAGGAAATGAATAGCAAAGTTCTTTATTCACAGCCAATTGTTTAACAAGAACCAGCGTTTCGATGACCGTCTGCCATCTTCAACAGTTTACCTTCACGAAAGGAAAACATATTGTTTTTGCTCTGTTTCTCCAAACACATGACTTCTGTCACCATGGTAACAAGTGTTGGGTTACATCATGTTGCAATTTTATAGCAGGAGGGATTTAGACTCCTGTCACCATATATATGAACGTGTTTGAGTAAGAATTAACAGAGCATACCATATATTCAAAGGTAAACATTGTGTTTTTTTGCAAATGTTATCTTTCTAGTTATGACAGGTTCACAGTACACTGAAGCTAGGTATTACTGGTTCCTTGTGCACTGTGCTTGAATACTCATAGAAGTGCTACATTTTCCACAGGAGAACCTGTCACCTCTGGACGTGGCCGGATCCCAATCAGTTAGAAAACTGATCAGGGTGCGTCACGTTTACCACATGACAATCAAGTCATTTTTGATAGACGCAACGATACACCCCAATGCATGTTTGGATGACAGGAAATCCGATACTCTGACAGAATGATTTATTACCAACTTTCCTACACAAAATGCTGCGTTTTTGCGTAGATTCCTATCTGTAATGATCAATAAAACGTTGCCATAGAAACTGCCAATTCTCTCACAGGCGAGGCAAAAGCAGATTGACAGGCAGGTCATGCAGCATGACCTCCTGTCCAAAGATGGCGGCGTCAAGATCAACAAGATCAAGTTACTGGTCTGTGGGGACGAGGCGACGGGGAAGTCTACGCTGATTGGCTCGCTCTGTCGGGTAAGACCACGTCACTAGTACTACTACCTTATAAGAAAGTTGAAGAATATTTGTCACCCATGCATATATCTAACACTTATTTTTGTATAAAGAAAATCAAACTTGCCCAATTTGAATTGTTTGGAAGCACTTTCTTTAGTTTTAGTTTTTCAAGAGATTTAGTTGTTTTTAATTCAAGTTTCTAGGGGAAGATTTCTTCGTTAGACGGAGATTTAGACCTCTCAAAACGTTTCCCTTGGCATGATACTTGTATTGCATTGTTGTTTCGCGCTTCATCTCACCTAGGCATCTACCTTGATTTTAACGTATTTTCTGTTTCCAGACGGGAATAAAAGCCGTGTTTACCAGAGAGAAACACAAGCCGACAGAGCCGGACGCCCGTAGCCCCACAGCCGGGGTGGACGTGGGGACCATGACCGTGCCGAATGCAGGCGAGTTCGCCATCTTTGACTTCGCGGGACAGGCTGAGTACTACGTCACACACGCCATGCTGATGCACGCCAAACTTGGGGTCTACGTCACAGTCTACAACATAACTGATGACGCCGAGACGCAGACACAACAGGTATTGGATAATATTCGCCTGCCATGTGTAAAAACTGAATAGACTGTCACAGGGCCTTTATGCACCACATTAGCCGACGTAGTATTGCCTACTTACGTAGCTGTGTGGCCCAAGGGACAAGTAAACGTAGATGGACGCCGCCCTATACACCGTATGGTGTGGGGAAGGTCTTCAACTTAACTTATTTATCGGTGTACGGTGATGTACAAGCGCTAAACTTAGTTCCGCCACAGAGACTAGCACGGATACTCAGTGCATGACTTCTCTTCTTCTCTGACTTCTTCAGCTGCAGAGGTGGCTTCGGATGATCAAAGCAGGCAACGGGGACCCGAGCTTCACACCGAAGGTAGTCCTGGTCGGTAGTCATGCGGACAAGATGGACAAACAGAAAGGTCAGAGATCTTACCGAACAGGAAAATTATCATAAAATCACCACTGTTAAAAATGTAGAAACGCCGGGTGTACCACTTCGTCCCCTTTCCAGTAATGTTAATGTTAGTTTATCATCTCACAGGATCTAGGAGAGGAGGAGAGTATCTCTTTCACGAAATTACGTGTGACGATGCCTGGCAGTATCTAGCAGTAGTTACTGATAACGCTATCTTGATGAAGATTAGGCATTCAGGTAGAACATTACGCAATACCAAATTAAGCAAGTGGCTAGATATGTCTCTGAAGAGTCAGATCTTTCAGGCTATCTTTTATCTTCTCAGTCACTCACGAAGAATAGCCGATGCTATCTGAAAGGTCTGACTCCTCAGATAATTCATCTAGTTGCTTGGTTTGTCTTGTATTACGTAATAACGGCACATGTGTCTGGAATAGTTTCCACCAGACTCTTTTGCAGGCTCAATAGATAGTAGAAATCGGCCTAAAAAGATTGTAGCTGACGAGGGGAGTTGGCCAGTCATAGAGGGTCCAGTTTGCATAAACTACATTCTTTTAGGCCGATTTCTACTATTTATGCAGCCTGAAAAAGAGTCTGGTGGAGACTATGTCTGGTGCACACAAACATAACCTAGAAAGTTCAATAAAGGAGGTTGATAGAACACAATCCATCCCAGGTATGTCTCGGGCTGCTGCTCTGCTGAGGTCCATGAGGGAACAGTTCCGGGGCCAGCTGGACATCTCCACCGAGGCCTTCGTCTTAGACTGTGAAGTGTCTCAGTCTCCAGACATGGACAGACTTAGGAAACACCTGGCGTGCCTCAAACAGGAAATCTTGAAGGTAAGTCTTATCTACAATGTGGTCTGGCATATTATATGTCACCCTGTAAAGGGTGGTATAACCCCGTTTAATATAGGGTCGACCAATGATGATGATATGATGATGATGCATCTCTCTATGACCCTATAGGACCAGCCACAGCTGCCGAAGCTGTGCTCCGAGATCGTGAGGAAAGTACCGGGTTGGTGCAGGAACAACCTCGGGGGCGGAGCGCCTGTCCTCCGCTGGCCGGAGTACGTGAAGGCTGTGAAGGAGATCGATCCCCTCGTGCAGGAAGACTTCCTTCTGAAGTCGACAGAGTATCTCAACGACATAGCCGAGGTTAGAGAACCACGTAGTTTGTTACTTAGAACACCTTTACATTGCTTCGGTGGATGTTTTATTAGAAATCCATTGGATTAGACTTAAAAATCGACATCTAACCTACTTTCCTGGATTCATAAACACACAGTGTGCATATACATGATTACAAAAGTACGTAATACTACAGGTACATTCATAAAACTTCAACTCGCATAAACTACTACAGAGCAACATACAATATCTCAAGATCGCTTTTTGGAATCGTTAACTGAACATAGTAATTTCTTATGCCATTTATAGCTATTTCAATTTTCGTATGTACTCCATGCTTGTACACAAGTCAGTTACGTTACATGTAGTACTGAAGTTTAAACTTTTAAGTGCCACGCTTCAGGTTTGTTTGTTTTTCAGCTACTACTCATCAGAGCAACCTCCTCTGAACCGATCGTGGTCCTGACGCCTCCGTGGCTGTGTGGTGATGTGTTCGGACCTTTGCTCGCACCGGAAAACTTTCCTATCGACCACATCGAACGCGAGAGCGACGATCACGTGACCTTCCGCGAGATCTCGCGAGTGTTCGCCCGGACGGTTTCCCCCAAGCTGCTCATCTCCATCCTACGGGAGTTCCAGATCTGCCACTCATTCGACGGGACTGATTTCATCTTCCCGAGCCTTCTGCGCAGACTGCCTCCACTCAGAGAAATCTGGAAACCGACCAAGTCCGAGTCCGTCGTCTATTTTGGCAGCCAAGTCGCCTGTAAGGACGCGACGGACAGCTTTTCCCCAGATTTCTTCCCGCGTCTTCAGACGACGCTGCTGAAGGAACACCCGAGCACCTTTCCTGTCAAACCGGCCGTGTGGAAAGACGGCATGGTCTTCACAGACGGCAAGAGCGAAGGACTGATAGCGATGTCGCAAGACAACATGGCCTGTAACATCGTTGTGAGGAACCCTAGCGGCTTCCGCGAGTACTGCTACTACCTGCTGGAACGCCTTCAAAAGAAGTTGAACAAAGTACTTGAAGAGAGCAGTCCCGGGACGAGTGTTGTCGAAAAGGTGATCAGCAGTCGCGCCTTGAAGGAACACAGAGACACTTTCTACACGTACGACCGGAAATCTGTTCAAGAAGCCGCCCGCAAGAACGGGTCTCTATCGCATCCTGACCTCCAGTGGTCAGAGCGAGTCTACGACCTCGTTTTCAGCCAGGAAGGGCCCAATAAGCACACATTCCAGCTCGTTGCTAAGCAACTGCGAGCGGCGGAGTGGCGGGAACTGGGAAGGGAGCTGGGGCTGTCGGACTCGACTTTAGACCGGCTGCAGAAGGAGTTCAGCGGCGACCTGCGGGAGACGGTGTACAGGATGCTGAACAAGTGGGAGGAAGAGACCGACGGTCCGCGCGGAGAGGCCCGGGAGAAGTTGTCAGACGCGCTGGTCGCTGTGGAGAGACGGGACATCGCCGATGTGCTCATTTGCGACGAAGGGTAGGAGTCTTGAGTTTATGATCGTTTGGAAAGCAGACGGAGGGTAATTGTTGTTTCCATAAGTTACAGAGAGATTAGAGGAAAAAAGGCAAACATCGTAATTGAACGTTCTATCTCCTTTCTTTCTTTCTGACACAGTGCGTCAGATCCTCAGCTCGTGCAGCCCCAGACGCTGCAGAAGGTGGCGGAATCTCTGCAGCTGCAGGACTGCAGGAAACTGGGCCGGGCGTTAGGTCTGACAGACGCGCAGCTGGACGGCATCGAGCACCGCTACCCGCACAACCTCGCCGAGCAACAGTACCAGGTCCTCATCACAAACTGTTTACTTACTCCCTATTTGTAGTCGTGATTTTACTGTCTTTAACACATTTTTATAAGTGCACAGTTGAAAAGCTAAGGCTTTGCTAGTCTCCAGCAGATCTTGGAAACCGACCAAGTCCGAGTTTGCAAATTGGCATGCGGCATCTATTTGCCAGACAGTTACCCAAGGCGACTGAGGACTCTCTCTCTAGATGGCCAGTTCTAACTGTAACGCTTTTGCCGCCAGACATCTGCTTGGAGGTTAATGCTTTGAAAACTCCTAGGGAATGGTAGGAAAATGTCTCCGTTCATGAGGCGTTGCGAAAAATTTTTCCCACCAACTTCTAAGAAAGCTGAATCTGAAACCTTCACCATACCTTTGAATGCTTATCAATGGGACTACGCAGGGTAAAACGTTGACTAACGGTCTCTCCGTTTTACATCAGATTTTAGTTGCCTGGAAACAGCAAGCTGGCAGCGCCGCCTACCGAGACGCCCTCGCCTCTGCACTGAAGGACATCGGAAGGCTGGACGTGGCAGAAGAGATCCAAGAGGAGGAATGAACCTGGCCAAAGACCACTAACAGCCTTCCCTATGTAATACATGCTAATTATGTCAGGAAAAGTGGTGAAAAATAATCGACGTACACCTGCGTTTTAGTCCTTGCGAAACACACATTGGGAAGGGTTCTCCAAGTTCTAACATGAGAATGTTCTATTAGCTGGAAGCCTGCGTTAATGCTACCTATTGCTATTTTTCTACCTTGTCAAATTTAGGATGCAAAACAGGACCATGTATTTAGCAAGCTTGTCCTGGTAATTGTCACTCGTATATTTTGCTATATATGGTGCAGTTCCCACCATTCCCGCATGGAGAGCGAAGAGTTTGTATTACGTCACTGTCACGCGAGAAAGTCCAAGGTCATTCGGCATTACAGTGCTCGATTTGACGTCATCGCCGAGATGGCACGCCATTGGTCCAAACCCCGCCGCCTGTCAGCTGGGACCTTCTCACGTTAAAAACTAGTTACGTATGACATCAGAGATGGGAGGACGGAGTGAGTAGATTAATTGTAACATTTACGTACGCTGCAGAAATGTCCGATTCAATGACACAGCGTGTCATCAGGCGATTTCCTCTATCCATGCCATGCTGATTTGCCAGAGTCAGCAGTTGCTGTGTCAACACTCAGTCAAAATTGGACGTTTCTGACGATGACAAAATAGCATTTCATAAAGCGATTTCCTCTCTCCACGCTATGCTGATTTGCCAGAGTCAGCAGTTGTTGTGTCAACACTCAGTCAAAATTGGACGTTTCTGACGATGACAAAATAGAATGTCATAAAGCGATTTCCTCTCTCCACGCTATGCTGATTTGCGACAGTCAGCAGTTGCTATTTCAGCACTCTGTCAAGATTGTACGTCTCTGAAGATGATAGATCTGTACCAATTATGTTCACGTCTTTATCTAGCCGAGGCGAGCACAAAAATGAAAGCTAGCTGAGAAGACATTGCATAACGTCGGAGAGGTACTAGTAGTACTATCAAACATAATGTACAGGCTTCACACAGCAATTTTAAGACGTATATTTTTTTTGTTAATCAAGAAAGTAATATGATATGTCATTAGCGACCTGTAATATCTTCTTATCTCTTGGCTAAAATTATATGGGGTACAGAATAACCTTCATTGACCTACATACATGGCGTATACAGTATTTGACATATAATGCGTGTGTACTTTGTGTGTTGATTGAAGAATATTAAATACGTGACAGTAAAAATATCAGTATTGGATAAACGGAGACTATCCAGAATCATGCCTGATCCAAATTCTAACCCATTCATGCATAAAACTAGATGGGCACGGTTTTGGATACAATATCCTGCTACGGAGATGGTACATCGCTTGCCTATCAACCGGTAAGTTTGTGTAACTATTAGTTTTACTCGTTGACCCCCGCTTTTCATGTCCCCAATTAAGCACCAACAAAACTGAGAATTACCACAGCATAAGTACGCATTCCCTTGCTTATCAAGCGGCAAGGCTGTGTCAATAGTTGTCTTGTTCATTTATTGTAGCATTGGTGACCCTAACCTCGTTACATTTCCGACAACATGTTCCAAAAGGAACAACTCGATGCTAAGTATCCGGTTAGATTGTACAAATATTGATGAGAAATCTTCCTCTATTATATATCTTTCTCCTTAACAAGAACATCGGAACACGCAACGAGCGTCCTTTGCATGGGAACATAACTTCGTTTGAAAACGCTTTGGAAATTCCACAGAAGTAATGGTATTGTTCAAAACGTAAATACAGTTGCCGGGCTGCATGCAAAGTACGCGTGTTATACAATCTTCGATTAGTCAAATATCACATCTTATTATAGGCAAATCGCACTATTTAATATGGGAATGGCGCAGGTGACAAGCGACTATTTGGTGACAAGCCAATCTTTTATCCGCTTCAAAATGACAAATCGACCTGGGTTATCTATTGGTGTCTATAAATTCTGGGTACTGGTGGAGTTTGTACAATCTGTAGCTGGACTCAACTCGCCCGTGGACAGCAGACAGGGAGTCGAAACTACCAGGTAAGGCTGTGGCGCTGCCGTTGTTACTGTAGTAAATTTCTGTGTCATGATGCTCTCTGACGGAATGAGGTCATGTTTCCTTCGTTGTTAAGAGTAGAATATTAATAGTAGATTTATAGCAAGGATGTCTGTATCTGCATAGCTGATGGTGTGAAGTACATATTTCCGCTGTAAAAGTACTAGTGTTCTTATTAGGGATCAAGAGCCTATAAACTGATGTTACAGGCATAACTTTAAACAATGCAAACCACTTCTTATGTATACGACATATACAAATCATTTCAAGTCGTTCTGCCTTTCTGAATAATAACGAAAACGATAACAGTACGTAAAACGCAATGAGGGATGTAGTCTGGCGCGATATAGAAAGTCTATGCTCCGTATGTCACGATTTCGAACTCCAGCTCCTTCTTTCAAAAGTAGTCTCAAATACCTTTCTCAGTTCTGTGATATGAAGACGCGTTAATAAAGTGACAGTTTCTTTACTAATTTTTTTTGTCATTTCAGATCATGAAGTCGTTCGTGTTCATGTGTCTTGTGGCCTTGGCCACTGCTAAGGTGAGACTTTTATCCTTCATAACACCATAACTCGGTCCGAAATCCTTACCATATGTTCTCTAAAGTTCATATCGCTTGTTTTCTGACAGGAACGTCAGCCAATTGCTGATGTCAGGCATAAACGACAATGTTGCCAGAAAATAATAAATGAATGAAGACCTTTATTGTACACACATATCCACTGGGTTAAGTACAGGTCACAACAAAAGGATGGAATACAGATAACGTTACATATATACCTCGTTAAGTAGCAGGTACATTTAAGTAAATTAGGTTTCTTCTCGTTTCTTAGTAATGGAAAAAAAGGTAAGAACAGGTATGTTACAATATAGAAGGTTTGTCTAAGCTCATTAGAAATATGAATTTATCTGTACAGCTTAGATGTATGAATAATGGCGCATGATCTTACGTAGCATGTTTTTCGGCTCACGCTGTGGTATCTTTGCAGTACTACAACGTCCGTGTGCAGGAGAAGGGAGTTCAGTTCCGGGAAACAGTCCAGACGGAAGGGAAGTACCAGCTGGTGGAGGTCCCCGCTCACAACGATCGGGACCACATCCTCGTACTCAGCAACCTCGAACTCGTGAGTCTTACGTTTTATTCCTGGTTTATTTGCTTATTTCCTCCGGTGAATGAAATGTCCTTCCGCGACAAAGTACTGTTTTCGGTCGTGTTTGTGTGTTCGCAGCTGTAACTCACGGTGGGCAAGTTGGCGGATTTCTTTGATTTTCGGTATACGGTTAGTTATTGGGATCCAGATGATGCGTGTTTTTTTTTTCATTGTATCTGTAGTTTCAGGTATTGAGATAAAATGATTTGACACCCAGACTAAGTTTCTTGTTTTGTTATTTTGTTAACGTTTTGCCTGTAACAAGGCAAAGGAAAGGGGGAAAAGTCATTTCCCCGGGGGATAACACTTATAGAGTATATCCATCCCAACATAGTCAAACTGTGCGGCAAGGCGTCTATCTGATATAAAATCTGAACTTGTGTATTTTCCTGTGTCCGTTACCCAGGACCAGACCGTGTACTGTTTCCCTGAGAGGGGCGTGTGTTTCCTCATCCCCGCCTCTGAGCACGGCGCCGAGCCCGACTCTCAGACCCTGGAGGCCGGCATGGACCAAGTCATGGTAATGCTAGGATAGAGTTTCCTAACCCTATACATGCGGGCCTGAACTTGCATGAGAGTTCATCAGCCTGTTGTTAGGGGTTACTACTCATAGTATTTGGAGTCCTAACCAGGGTTAAAAATAAGAGCGCTTGTGTATGTAAGTGTATGCCAACAAATTATGGCTGCAACACTGAAACTTCCACCTCATTTGCTTCAAGGTCTCGTTCGGACAAAACTTTTGCCAAAACCATCTGTAGCGCAAGCGTACAGGTCAGCCAAACATTTTGTAGATCTTAGTACTAGTATATTTCCCTTCTGTTTATCAGACCCAGCGTTCCGGGCAGATCGGAGACTGGGAGACCGTGGTGGTGGACAACAGGTGGGCGGTGGTCGAGCAGAACCTGGACCGCAACATCCTCACTGACGCGCGCCTGCGCAGCTTCTACCCCAACCTGCCCCTGCATCGCGTGCAGAAGCTGCCAGAGGGCGCTGTTGTCCTGTCCGGAAGCACGGATGCTGGTAAGAGCAGGGGGACTGACGTTGTACATTTGCCTACACAGCTAGACTAGAGGATGAACACTATTTTGAAGTAGAATGGAGTCTATACAACAGTGTGAGAATTGAACTCTATAGACCGATACGGAAACACAGGACCTCTGGCTTAGGTAGGTACTAGTATTCATTTTTAGTATTGAGTCGAGTGAAGAAGTAAGTATAATGTCCCATTCCTTACTTCCAGGGATTCGAACTCAAAACCTTCAGATTAAGTCTAAGTCGTCAAATCTTAGGTGGCTGGAAAGAGTAGAAATTGGCCAAGTAGAGAGATAACATGCCAGGAGTGTTGGTGGTGTGCGGCAAACTGTATTCTCTAGCGGACCAACTCCCCTGGCATGTTAACGTTATCTCTCTTTTTTTGGCCAATTTCTGCTCTTTCCAGCCGCCTCCCGAAGCCCGGTAGAGGCTAGTCAAATCTAACCACAACACCATATTGTTACAGTTGCCGCGGCCAAGCGCCAGCTGATCTCCGGAGCGTGCGCGGCTAACGCGGACCCACAGCGCATGTACGCCGTGTCCAACCCCGCCGGCTGTGAGTACCTGGTCTTCTGTAACGGACAGAACGACCAGTACAGCGAGTGTCCCCGCCGTCACGTCACAGACACCTTCTTCATGGTAAGACACACTCGCTAGGTTAGGTGGGGGGGGGGTCAATAACCATGGCTTAGGGCTTAGGGTGTCCCAAAAGTACGTGTCTTATCCCAAGAGGGAACTTGGAATTTTTATGATGTCAAGATAACGTTATTAATAGCTTTGAGACTTCCCCTAATAGTATCAAAATTTCCAGGCTAGGGCTTCACAAAATTTTTTATGATGTCAAGATAACGTTATTAATACATGTAGCTATGAGACTTCGCCCATCAAAATTTCCAGGCTAAGGCTTCACAAAAATCCGTAATGTACATAATAGTGATAGTAAAAAAAAGGCTTATGGGAGAGTAGTATTCCATATGTATGCCTGCAACTTCCGCCTGCAACTTTCGATAGCTTGGTCACACTATTCTCCCAGCAGATTTTTAGGTGGCTATAAGGACAGTCATTAGCCAGACAGTATCCATTTGCCAGTTACCATGGTGAAAAAAGACACCAGTACAAAAAAGATGACCCGATAAAAACGCCTAAAACACGCAAAAAAAGCAAAGCCTAAACCTCTGCTTGGAGAGTAGGTCACACCACCATCTTTTCCCTGACCGGTCGACCATCAAAGAGTTTGCCCCTGTTCTGAAGGTGTAATCTTTCCGTTTGCCAGGTGTGCCTGTGCTGTCCCGAGCATACCAACAGGGAGCAGTGTCTCTTCTGTCAGAACCTGGAGTGCAGCGGGTACTTCGACAACACCGGCGTCTGCTAAGCGCAGCAGTTCAGACACAGAAGTTCCAGCTACTGCTACACCCTGTTTAACGTCATGTTAAACTTGGTACTTGTGAGATTGTGCCATGATTTGCCCGCTAGTAGAGATCTGATCCCGAAGAAGTGACAGGGGAGGAAAACACTATTGTTGCTTCGAATAAAATTTTGGAACATGTCATGCTTGTTTGTTTGTTTGTTTGTTTGTTTGTTTGTGTGTTTTTTTGGTGAAGTGTACTATAGTCAGTAGATTAGACAGACTAGTGCAACATGCGCCCACCCAATTCGATATGATTTAATTGAAACTAGCTATATAGGTATTCATTTTCAGTAATGTCCGTACAAGAAGATTCGAAGAAGAAATGAGAAAGCGCCCTTCACGATGTCGGATGTGTATAAAAATTGTAGCAATGGAATGTTTAATTTCATCATCTACTTGTAGGATATACAGAGCTGACAGCAGCTATTTGAACGTTTCTAACTTCCCGTAGCGGGACCTTGGGTTCACGGTGGAACTGTTCTTAATTAGCCTCTACCCTTACACAGCCGAACACGAGCTGTCTGTCTCACACTAACCAACAACAGGATGTGAGAGTCAATGTCATTAAACTTCAACAACGCGACACGCCTTAATAACTTCTTGGCAAGGCCTTACGAAAATGATAAGGTGGCAACATATGGTGAAACAAATTTTCGTCCCAATAACACAACGTCTAGAGAGGAGTGCCAGGGATATCCGGATAGAATTTGCGACTTCGACCTCGACGTCAACCTCGACTACAAGAAACTTACAAATTGCCTTAAAACTGTCCTTTCCTTCTTCGACGCATCCTTTCAATGTATTACTCCTGTAGCCACTGTCTAGTGCTTGAGAAACAGACCAAGCGTTCAATGTAACATCTGCAAAACTAAAGTGAAATTTCACAGACTTAAAGTAGAAGTCCCAGATAAATTTGGGGAAAATAACGTTCAGTCCGTCCATCGTAGAAAATTGTCTTAAACTGGTTCGACGCGACTTGTCAAAACAACATATAAGGCCACAGCAAGTAAATTTTATGGATGACATCCTCCGCAGATACCAAATCTAATGCGAGCGGGCGAAAAAAAAAAACAAGGCGGGCCAAAAAAACAAGATTCCTACATTTTAAATGTTTAACTCATTCATGGTGGTACAAATGGTTTTGATTCGGTGGGAACATCACATCTACACAGCCAGCATCACATATCACTGCATCAAAGTAAGAAACAAAACATATTAAATCAGAGTCTTTTCTTGTCTCCTCTCTTCGTATTTACCTGCCATCCACCTTCCGGCATGGCAGCAGACATTTTCAGCATGTTGACCACTGTCAGAAGGCAACAAAATTTCTTGTTGTTGTTGTTTTTTTTTTGTTTTTTTTTTTTCAAAATCAGACGAAAATTAATTCGCGCGCTGATGTCATCCATAAAAATTACTTGCTGTGGCCTAATATAGATTTCTGGTGGTCTTAGTAGAATTCCTTGCTGCCACTGTCCGAAATCTGTGAGTTTACCCCAAAACAGGATGTCGTGTCGGTATGACAGCTACCCGCACAAACATTGACACGCCTTCGGGCATACTTCAGCGGATCGGGCCGGTAAAGTCTGTAAACAGTCTCGGCAGAGGGGCAAACGTAAGACGCGAGGATTAACACATGCATGTTTTGCTGGGTGCTGAGGTCGAAAACATTAGTGCAGAGAAGAAATAACACAGCGTCCTTTCTTTTTCTTTAAACAGAAGTTAAAACGAAGAAGAATTTGTAAGACCCAGTCACTGAGAGTGCCACCCTGGTAAAAGAACACAGAAATAGATAATAAATTAATGTATCCAGTATCATTCCATCTTGAAACATGGAGGTAGCACTGAACGTCCTACATTTTGTCCAGGAGAAGGCTGAAATTGTTTTATTTTCTTACATTTCCTTCGAGGTGGTCAGTTAGGGTGACGTGAAAAAAACACTTAATTTGCACACTCTTCGACAAATAGATTTTATTTTGACAGCTCGCAGTTAGTATTAGACCATTCGCCAGGAGATGATGAATTCTAGTAACAGGTGGAATAATTGGCTGGTGCTGTCCCAGAAAGCAGGATGTTAACACGCCACATTTCAAGAATTGTGTGACCACATGTCGCCTATTGAGAAAGTAGCTGCCAACAACGCGTCACATACAATCAGTGAGGTTGTACATGTGTGGCTGTATTTTTCTGTACACTTTAATAAATATCTCGACACAATCTCTTTAACCCGATGATGAACTTCTAAAAAGGATCCTCCTAGCCACGACGCACGATCAAACAACTTTGCACATCCGTAGGCTACTAAAGATTAACTTAACTTTAAGACAACTAACAGGAATCTTTATTTCCTAGTATGCCCATTTTTTGGCGTCATAGCCAAATGATAAGAATTTTCTGTTGTATCGCTTTTCCCGCCTATAACCGAGGGATTTGTGGAATTTCTTTTGGCACAAGACCGCATTTTTTCCGGTTAGTTGAAAGTCCTTGTGGTGTGAGTGGGTTGGTATGTCGCGTGTTGTGGGTGGAGAAAAACCTTGTCATCTCGCCAGGACAGCGGATAGACTCATCATAACTTCCGGTCACTTTCCAAGGCCGGAGGTGGCTTAGCCATTAAAGGAAAATAATTAAGACGTCTTATTGTTTATTTCTCTTTGATAAGAATCGCGGAGGTAGTATGGGACTTGTTCAGTTGTTGTCAGAACTGGCCGACTGGTTGAAAATTGCACTTAAAAACAAAGCTAATAAAGTTTAACAATCTTGTATAAGAAATAAACAGCAAGAGAAAGTACGAAAGAGATGCCAGTATTGGACGAATAAATCATAGAAGGTAGAAATCAGGCAAAGGGATGAAGAAAGAGACCTAAACGAAAGAGTGCATGAAGGGAGATGGAGAGCTAGAGACAGAGAGATATATATCTAGACGAGCAGGGCGCCGGCGGATGGGTGCTTGGTGGAAAAGCCACAAAATTAAAGTTATAAAGTAAGTGTGATCTGTTATTAGTGCACAGGGCTGCTGAGTTCTAGTGTTATCAAGTTCATCAGCAGCTGCCGTGAATTCCAAACGAAGCAGAGATCACGTTTGCGTTCCTGACAGGAGAAAATCACCTGTCACAGGCCGGAAACCTCGCGACATGGCCCGTCTCGGACCTTCAGCTGCAGACACCTGTCGCCAATCTCCGGTCTGATCTTGGAAATCACGTCACGTCGTCTTCTTCCTTCTCAAAGAATGAATCATCGGACCAAAATCGCTATAAAATCTGGCGCGAAATCGGCTTGCTTCAGACTCTCTGTCGCTGTGGAGAAAGACAGTCAAGCCTTTGGTTTCAAGATTGAACCTTTACTCTCGCCACTACCTTTCGACGATGAAGTCCTTTGCCCTGCTGTTCCTTGCTGTCTTCTCGCTGTCGTACTGGACAGCAGACGCCGGGCGGGGGGACACGCTCCCGCCTAGCAGCAACTATAGGCTCGCAGCCAGGCGCGGGGACACGGCAACCACCTACCGGAGGGGCCCGGGCTGGTACCGCGGACGGGGAGACACCGCCGCCCCGAGCAGCTACAGGAGCGTCGGCCGGGGCGACACGAGCATGAGCCTCGCCAGCCCGGGGATGAAGCTCGCCCGCGGTGGGAGCGCCTCCGTCGGCGCCGGGAGCACCCGAGGAGACATGTCGCTGTTCGGAGAAAGCCGAGAGGGCCCGAGGGCTGACAAAACCGGAGTCGTCGGAGATCGTCGGAGGCCGAGCGCGGGCCGAGGAGACACGAGCATCCCCGGCACCTACGCGAAGACAACCGAGCAAAAGGTTAGATGACCCATCTTTTTGTGCATGGCCGTTTGATCATTCATCAAGGTCAGAGAAGAAAGTGTGTGTGGCAAAACTAATCTGCTACTCTATTTTCACCTTTACAAGGAAGTGAGAAGAAATTAGCCCCGTAAATATTTTATGTTGTACGTCTGGTCTACGTCTGTGCATTGGAGTTTTTCTGCCTCCATGGTCTGTGTAATAAAAATGACTGTTGTAATCAAACTTCAGGATTTGCAAGAAACTTCTAGTATAGTATACTGTACAACATAAGTCTTGTATTGAGACAGCGGTTAAAAACTACTGTATTCCCAACTACAAATGTGAACACTAGCCAAGCAGGTCAGATGTCCCGCCAAAACACAACGTTAATTGTTGACTTTGTTTTCCCGCAGATGTCGGGCCTGAGAATGACCAACTATGTAAACAGCGAGGGCAACTGTGTGTACACCTTGTACCTACCCCGTGACGTCAACACCAGCCCCACCTGTCCACCAATGGCAGACCGGGACGCCATGTGGCGCGCACAGGACGACCTGGTCGCACAACTGGCTGCTGCGCGTGCGCAGGTGGCCAAACTCATGTCAGAGGTGAGTAAGTTTCATCGGTATTCATTTTTAAAGGAAGAGGCTATCTGCATTCTTTAGTGAAAGGCATATTGACCTATAGTATATAAAAAGGGCAAAATAAGTACAATGTAGTATGAGTGTAACTTGCACTGTCACTGACCGTTTCGTCTGGTCAAATTGTGCCGAATATTTCAATGTTGGCATGGAGTTAACTGGGACTTTCTATAGCTAGTACATTTTCACATGGCTTTTGTACAATAATACTACAATTGTAAACTTTTTCTTTTGTTTTCCCTTTTCTCCTTGGCAGGTGGATCAGTTGGAGAACCGTCTAGTAGAGAAAGAGCGTCATCTAGCGGAAGAAGGGAGCGATGCAACAGCCGACATTGTTCCCTGAAGCAGTCACTGTGCAACTCAACCTCTTATTCTAAACATTTTTCTTACGTGGAGCAAAGACAAGAAATGTCTTTGCATGGAGTAAAATAGAACGAAAATACGTCTTTGCTTTTCCTCATGCACATATGCAGCTGTTATATAGCTTTCAAATGCACGCACAAATTGTATCGATGTAAATCTTTTTGTTTATTTTTTTCAACGACAATGTTGTGTGGTAGTGATATGCACAGAAGTGAACTTCGGTACACTCAGTGTCAATGAATTGCTGTTCAAATAAAGATGGATTTTATGTAAACCAGACAATATTTTGCTTGTTTCTTGAATGTCCATATTCATGGTCCTTTTTCTACGTTGAAATAACCCGCAAGCAATCAGTATTAGTGCAGTAGGGGTATTACTCTGAGTTCTTTATATACAATCATGTAACTACAGCTGATTTACTGACAGCCGTGCAGTTCAGATGATGGGTGGAGGGTCCTGGATGCCTAGCTATTAAAGACAGTTTTAACTTGCATGCTAAGTTCCAGTTACTCTTCAAGACACGTTCCCTCTTGATTCAATTTTAACGGAAAACTTGCACCCCACAATAATGCAGAAGAAAAATCCAGTCTCTTTTGTTTTGATCCCCTAGTGGTCATCTTTAAATTTCCCGCGATGCGCAATGCTTCATGGGAAATAGGATGTACCACTACAACCTTTCCCCTCTGACCTGTGTGACCCCAGCATGGCGACGAAACGTGGAATTTCGTCAGTGTAGTCAGAAAACGCCGTGAATTTTGTCCTAGTATACTCATATACGACGGTATATCGGGCCAAAGTTTCAACTGTGAATACTTCTCAACTCAAGGATTCTGTTGATCTACCAAAGTGAGTTCTAGGTGATAGTTTGGCATTTTTATCCAACTTCATATGTGGGCGAGCTTTTTAAAACCTTCTGTACTAGTACTTGGTAGCAAGACCATGGCCACTCAAACGTCATATATATAATTTGCTCAAAATAGGACATCACTTAAATGTATGTAAACTTGGCCCTTGGAAATACATTGTACTGGGGAAAATAACCCTGTTTGAGTCTACACCACTAACGTATATATAACGACAAATTATGATTGTACAAGATCTCAAGAAATTCTCGTCATATGTTCCTTGATATCAGAGTCGACAGACCCGGAAATTTTGCTACCAATACCTACTCTCCAAGCAGAGGTTTGGATTATTTTGCCTGCTTGGAGATTAACCAATACCATGAAGACAAAGTGAATTACAGTATAATATTTGTAGGTTCTAAGATGCCTACCTGTGGTGAAGTTCTTGAAGACATTGAGGACATGGTGTCCTCAACTGACCTGACTCCTGAGGAGCGCTTTGGGTCCAGGAAGAATGTTGTTCCTCGGGTGAGGAAGAAGCACAAGGATCCAGAGACGTTAGATCCAGAGTGTGACAGGTAATGTATATACATTGCAAGAATAGTATTGACATATTGTTGTAGAAGTACAAGTACAAAGCTTAGACTTGAACAACCTGTATCTCATATAAACTTGAATGTGACATAAGATTTAGAATCTTGACCCCCAAAATTAGTAACATTGGACTACTATATTGTTTATCCTTTAATGACTTTGATATCTTTGATTCCAGAAGTTGTATTCTTACTAGTATATGCAAGAAGTTGAAACTACAACAAAATTTATGTATTTTTGTTGATGTTGTACAGTGTTATCCCAGGAACACAGAGCATCTATGTGAAGACGTGGGGCTGCTCACATAACAACTCAGACGGGGAGTACATGGCAGGGCAGCTGGCAGCTTATGGGTACACAATCACAGGTCAGGAGTTACAGCGACTTGGGAATGGTTTTATTTTTTGGTCCGTTCTTCGTGCAGACTTTCTACTTTACCCCAAGGATTTAAGTCTTTGTCATGTCTGTCTGTGTGTGTTTTTGCATTTCCCAATATGCACAATACAGCATATTCTGCACCATACAGCCCATTTTGTCAGTGTAACTGGAAGGGTTGCAAAATAGTGTGATTGGGTAATGTGTTGAAATTGACTGCAAGACACATAACTTTAGGGGGAGAATTCCTCTGAAATACAGTTACCAATCTAACCACAAAAGCATACTTTATTCCTTTATCCCCTCTTTATGTAGTTTTGGTGTGTCCCTGTAATTACCAGGATCAATCATGTTGTTCCCTTGTAACAGACACCCCTGATGCTGCAGACTTGTGGCTGTTGAACAGCTGTACAGTAAAGAACCCTGCTGAGGACCACTTCAGGAACACCATCACCAGGGCACACAGGGAGGCCAAGAAGGTGGGGTGCTTAGTAGTTGTCATCATGTTAAACATAGAATTAATTAAGTTTAGGCTTCAGTGATATATTGAAAACAATCACTTGTGATAAAGATTGATCACGTTCATTTCATTCCTTAGTGTTTCTCTGATTGTGTGAACTAATCTTAAGTAAATATAAGAACACAGGAAGTTTAAGACAGGTTACTTTGACCTTTTTTCAAATTATTTTTGATCTGAAGCTACTAGTATTTATATTGCATGAAAATGTATGACACATTAATGTAACATTTGTAGCATCTTTGTGTATTCTCACAGGTTGTAGTGGCTGGCTGTGTTCCTCAGGGCCAACCAAAAGCAAAATATCTTAAAGGACTCAGTGTCATTGGGGTAAGTATGGAAAATCTGTGTCCTCTAAAATTACAGTTTTTACATACATACATTGGTTTTAGAACTGCTAAACTACAAAACCTTGATTTTGTTTTTACATTACAGGTCCAACAGATAGACAGAGTGGTAGAAGTGGTGGAAGAAACCTTGAAAGGTGATTTTTATCTGTTCATAATTGCTAATATGATTATCCAAGATTTCTAGATCTGCTTATCAACAATACTAGTATTGTAGATTAGAATTCATCCTTAATGTCTGTTTGTTTGTTTGTTTGTTTATTTCAATGTCAAATTGAATTATTACAGCTTACATGTACTAGTAAGTGCTTTGTAACCAACATTTTTCTGCTATTTTTTCCCAATCCTTACAGGACACAGTGTGAGGCTGTTTGGGCAGAAAAAGAATCTTGGGAAGAAACTGGGTGGTGCCAAACTGGACCTTCCCAAAATTAGGAAAAACCCTCTTATAGAGATCATCGCTATCAACACAGGGTGAGTCACTTTGGAGACAGCATATTCAGTACAGTCACTGTGGTATACACCGGAAAGACTAGACTGACTTTTCTTCATTAACTTTAGAAAGATACAAGGGTGCATATGATACAATATTATTATATTCTTACCATAGTCTACAATTTGTTGTGTTACACTTTTGTAAGCTTAAGATTTACATGTATGTACAAAAATATCAAGTTTTGTAACATATCATGTTTTCCTGCTAGTTGCCTGAACCAGTGCACCTACTGCAAGACCAAGCACGCTCGTGGGGAGCTGGGCAGTTATCCACCAGAAGAAATTGTCTCCAGGGCTAGACAGTCATTTGAAGGTATATAATCAATTTCTTTCAATGTATGATAACTCTTTCAAATGGAAATCTTGAAATCGTGCACAGAATAACATGAAACACGAAGAAAAACTTAAAAGCTCTACTTGCAGTCTATAGATCAGATGTTTATGTTGTTTTAATACCATTTTGACTTTGTGGAAAATGCGAATAAACAAATGCACAAATAAGCCATTATCATACCAAAAATAATCAGGTTGGTAGAACATAGGATATTTGAATTTTCTTATACATAACCATGGATTCTTCAAGTTGAGAAGTAGTACTTGAGTCAGAAGCTCTGAGGAAGGTGTCTGATAGACATTGAAACGTAAGCAGGGTAGGAAGAATACCTGGTTGTGTATAAGAAAATCCCAATATCCTACCATTATCATATTGTATATGTACTACATGTGTTCTTGTTTTCCTCTTGTAGAGGGAGTAGTGGAGATCTGGTTGACCAGTGAAGACACGGGAGCTTATGGGAAGGACATCGGTGTGACGTTACCTGAGCTACTGTGGAGGCTGGTGGAGGTCATACCTGAGGGGTGCATGTTACGTGTGGGCATGACCAACCCACCGTACATACTGGAACATCTAGAGGTAGGTGGCATTAGTATGTAGTGTATTGATGTAATGTGCATGTACTTATTAGCACATGTTTTGTTTACAGAAATATTGTGATGTTTTTTTAGATCTCCATTCATAACAGTTGTATTTGCAGTGGAGTATTTCCCCTTGAGATATGTTGAAAATATGAGATTGTACACTCAGATTCTTAAGTTTGTTCTTCTATTAAAGATTATTTATTTATTTATTTCTGTGTTCTTTTACCAGGGTGGCACTCTCAGTGACTTTTCAGAGTGGCCCTGGGCACTTACGTACAAACAGTGCAATAGCAAATACAAGACAGAATCAGATCTAAATTGCTCATCAAATATCAAAATTGTTATCCATAAAAACTATTGTAAAATGTATTTGGTTTTCAGGAGATGGCAAAGATCCTGAGGCACCCCCAAGTGTATGCGTTCCTGCATGTCCCTGTCCAGGCTGCATCAGACAGTGTTCTGATGGACATGAGGAGGGAGTACTGTCTGGCAGACTTCAAACAAGTCGTCAACTTCCTCAAGGAGAGGTACAGATCATCTCAGTACTGTCTATGCCTTTATAAGTGATATGCAGTGCCAGAAGGAATAAGTGTTTCCTGGAAGAGAAAAATCACTGATCCTACACTGCTAATGCTGAATGAAAATTGATCTTTTAACTCATTAAAGCACATTCTTTATTTGTTAAGTTACGTATGGAAAAATGAAATTAAGTTGAAGAATGCTCATGAAGATCTGAACCAAGCAGTATATGCCGAAAAATTCATGTAGCTTTAACTTTAGGTTGATTCTTTGTTATACTGTGCCTTTAAGTTTGTTTTCCTGACAAAGTTTTGTTTTTGTTTTCTGCAGAGTTCCCAATGTTACCATAGCAACTGATGTCATCTGTGGATTTCCAACAGAAACTGCTGAGGTACATGTACATTATGGATTGTTTAAATATATGGAATCTAACAGTGTTAGAAAATGCAATGGTCTTAGAATTACATTCATCTCACAATGAAAGAAATGTTGGTGATATAGTTTATTAGAATTAGACATCTCATTTTGAAAGATGAACTTTTAGTAAGTTTCAATACACATTACAAGTCATTGTAATTATCTTCAAGTACATTGAAGTAAGTAGCACACAAAATCCCCAGAATGTTTTTGTCTTCCTTTGACATATGCATTTTTATGTGTTTTTCTTCAGGATTTTGAGGAGACCTTGCAGCTGGTTGAAGAGTACAAGTTTCCCAGTCTGTTTATTAACCAGTTCTTCCCCCGACCTGGTACCCCAGCTGCCAGGATGCAGAGGGTTGATCCTCAGGAGGTCAAGAGGAGAACAAAAGCAATATCAGAGCTGTTTCAGAGCTACAGGCCGTATGATCACAAGGTATATTTTTTAAACTTCAAAGGTATATGCTGTTTATCTCATTCTATTTAACAGAAAAGAATCTAGACCATGTTTGATTATTTCATATGTTTGAGTACTACAGTATACATGTACATTAATAGCAGAATTTAATAAAATGCATCTAGCCCATGTTTGACTACCCATTATTTCATATGTTTGAGTACTGCATTATTTAAATTATATTTTAACTAATACACATGTAATAGCAGATAGATGTGTCAGCAAGTACATGTTTTTATATGTAACGTTGAGTATTGGTATTGATTGTATTGACAATGGTTGTGTTTCCAGGTTGGAGAAATCCAGGATGTTTTAGTGACAGAGGAATCACATGACAAGAAGTTTTATGTAGCACACAACAAGTGCTATGATCAGGTGAGGAAAACCTCTGAAAACAGTGAAATCGTGTATAGGTTAAATGTATTAAAAATGAATAATTAATATGTCCTAAAGTAGGAAATCAGCTCTGGCTTATGATTTGGAAATAACATTCCATCTATGTTTAGTTCTCCTTGTAGTAGCTGCTTGTTACACTTTGTAAATTCAATGGTTTAGAGCATTGTAGGATCACTTTTTATAATACATGTCCTAGTACCTGCATGTTGTCCTAGTACCTGCATGTTGTAGTTAAAAGATGTGGTGTTTTACCAAACCTCATAATAGCAAACATAGTAGTAGTATAAGTTGATTAGACAGTACAAAATGTAGTTGTTTTCTATTGCTTTACTTTACTTTCTTTGACACTGTGCATGCAATTAGCCTTCAGGAATGATTGTGCAAGTAAGGAATTGTTTTGGAACATGAACATCTTTCTTTCCATCCAGGTCCTGGTGCCCAAAGATGAAAAGTTACTGGGAAAGATGGTTACCGTGGAGATCACGTCAACAGGGAAGCACTACCTCATGGGAAGGCTACTGTCAGGTCAGGTGACCAAGGTTGCCATAGCAACCCCACTACCCAAGGGTACTGTGTCAGGTGTACAAGATAACCTTCAGGTATGACCTTCACAACTTACAGAGAAGAATTACTGATGTCTTTTTCTTAATTTGTTCATTAAACTTCTCCATCACAAAATGGGGGGGGACTGAAAACAGGTGTATTTGTATTTAATAGCAATGAAACTGATCATTACAAGGGTCAGCTTGTTCATATCTGCTAGTTGCTCCTTTTTTTTTCCACCAGATCAAGCTACAAGGCATAATTTAAGACTTCTTGTGGCTTCCAAAGTATCTTTCATTTCAAATAGTAATGACAGCTTTGTTTCTTTGTTTAAGATATGATATAAGATTGTCAGCTTTAAAGGGATGTATTTCATAGTAGCCTCACAAGTTGTTTTTTTTCTCTCTGTGCTTCACAGGAAACAACAGACAGCACAACAGTAACAGCACAACCCCCGCTGGCATGGGTACAGCACCAGCTGTCCAGGATAACTCCTGTTGGTATGCCCCGATGGATGCAAGTGGCTGCTTTTGTTCTAGTTCTTGCCGTTGTTTTAGATCTTTGTAGGATTGTTTACAGAGTAAGTGCTAAATTCTGAGATGTGAGGAAGGAATTGGTTGGTGTAGATTAATCAAACAGTCTTAAATCTCATGTATGGATGAATGTGTACATACACATGTACACTGACCCTGAATGTCAATTGTGCAACAGGAAAAGATCAGAAGCTCAGAATTCATTGCACTGTGGTTTCAAACAGGACTTGATGGTTTCAACTTTTAAAAGAATGCCAAACAATTATATTACAGAAATACTATCATGATGTTGTATCATTATTGAATCATGGCACAAACAACTTTTTGCTGGGGATGATTTTGAATAGTCAATGGTCCATGCTCGCCTTCATGTTTGATCATTCAGACAACTAGATACCTGTCAAATTCTATGCGTAGAAGATTTACACATTTGCCCTATCACCTATATCTATTGAAAATAAATACACCAACGAAGGACATTTTCACAGTTTTATTCTAACAACTTTTTATATATTAACATTGTACATATATAATTTATATCATACAATCAATATGATTTACAAGAGGCCTCCTGTAATAGGAGGATGGTTTAACATTAGAATACTCTCCCTGAATAATGCCAACACAGTCGGCGAGGGATACACTGTGTCCCCATCCCTTACACAATGTTTGTAATATCTACAAAACGGGATTTTACAACTTTCAGTTGTACAATTTATACTGTGTTGAGCACATGCTATTGCACCTATGGTGCAGATTTCACAACTTGGCAGTGTACAGGAAGCACAGGATCGCAGGGAGGTTAGGCAGATGTTACAGACGAGACATCTCTTCCTGTGACTAGGACTGGACCAGAGGTCACTGTGACTGAGGCAGGCTATGATAGCCTGCTCTGCCTGTGATACTGTGAAGGGTAGAATGCGGAAGCACATCTGAAATATGATGAAGATAGAAAACTGTTACATGTAAAACTACACATTGTCAACTACTTCTCGAAAAATTGGGAAAATGACTGAAATTCTACAACCACTTACAGAAGTAAAATGTGCATCAATTTTCATCAAAACACACATGTGTACATGATAAGTGCCACCAAAGATTTGACAGTTGACAGTACCTGTAGCAGCCTGTTGCTGATTTGATGGCGATGCAGGTTGACCGGCCCCACTGCAACTGCCCAGAATTCCCTCTGTTGGAATGCACGGAAAATTCCCCCACACTGAAGGGGGACGGGGATCAAAATAATTTTGTGTTATGAGTGAACAAAGGCAAATGAGCAGGGAAGAGAAATGACTGTTGATATTTTGATTTTCAATGTACTGTGTCACATATCATTGTTTTGTATTGGATACATATCTCACAACTAAACAAAGCCAACACAACTAACATTTGCAATTACGGCAAATTTTACAATTGAAATGTCTAAAGTTGTTTCAAGAAGGTTTTGCCACTACTGACCTCGGCAGTTCCACAGGATGGACTTGTGATCCTCCTCAGATGGACTGAAATCTTGTCTCTAAACTGTTTGTTGTTCTGGAGCTCTTCAGGACTGAGTTGACTGTCCCGGATGGCCTGTTTGGTCTCCTCACACCCTGTAATGTCACACCCCTCCCTCTCACACGTAAAGACATGCCCACAATACAACTGTCGCACGTAAGCACAGCGCTCACAGTTGATCGTGTGGCACGTTTTGATGTGGAAGAGGTAGTGGGTGACCACGCGCTGGCAGGACTGGCACTCTCTCATGTGGGCAGTCAACTGGATGTCATCTCCAGTCAGCTCAGCAAGGTGGCGCTGACAGTCCACAAGGTCATCTACGCCAGGCAACTGTTGGGATGTTCAAGGAAATTGTGTCTTCTATGTGTAGAAAAATTACTGGCACCTAGCATTTTATGAGATGGACTTACAAAGCTGCTTTTAATGTCAAAATCAAGATTGTCACACAACTAGATGTTAAGCTTACCAGTGGATGAAGGCCCCTCAAAAGGATCTCCTGCTCCTTCACTATCTCTGTGAGCTGCTCAAGCTCCTTGCGGACCGTGTTGATTGTATCTCTGTATTCTCCTGACCTGGTTTCGAGGGCTTCCTTTTCCAAGGCCAGTTCTGCAGATACTCGTTGGGTGTTTTCCAGCTCTGTTTGAAGCTGCTCAATTTGCTCCTGTTAGATAGTAAATAATGGACATCTGAATGTTACATTGTATTCTTGCATGATATCATGGTATTTTCATATCGCAGTATATAAACATTATATTCTCTGTGTTTGCTTGACCACCTATGACAACTTCTCCCCAACAGATTGTACACTTCCATGTAATAATTACTTTGTTTCTTGTCAGTACCACATCCCTCACAGAAGAGAAATGATTTTCGTTCCAGATCATCAATTTGCTTCTGTTGCAAAAGACCAAAAATGTGATATAACAAGATCCCAGTAACCAGTCCACAATGACATTGTACATATACATGTAACGTTATATACTAAGTTCACCAAAGGTGAGAAATGATTTACCTGTTGCTGTTGTGCCCTGGTCTCAGAAATCCTTGACATGTCACTGTGCTCTGTCTCCATCCGCTCTTGTGTCGCTGTCAGTTCGTTAACTTCTTGTTCTTTTTCATGGAGTTTTTGTTCCAGATCATCAATTTGCTCCTGATGCAAAAGAGCAAAAATTTGATCAAACAGGATCCCCAGTAACCAGTCCACAATAACATAGTACGTGTTCATGTAATGTTATATACTAAGTTCACCAGAGGTGACAGATGGTTTACCTGCTGCTGTTGTTCCCTGGTCTCAGAAAGCCTTAATGCCTCACTGTGCTCTGTCTCCATCCGCTCGTTTGTCGCTGCCAGTTCGTTAACTTCTCGTTCTTTCTCTTCGAGTTTCCACAACAGATCATCAATTTGCTCCTGTTACATAGCAAAAGAACAAAAGATTGAGTCGAATATCATATTTAACAAGAGCAAGTACACTGCAAGTATCATTAACAATAATAAAAATATCCATAACCACCATACACTGTAACAACAATATCGTGAGATATTAAATAGGTCGACAATATGATAAACATCTTAAAATTTTTTGGTATGTACCACCTGTGTTTTCTGTCTGATGTAAGTCACTTTTGCTGCCATAATGGACTTACTGTCAAGGTTGTGTACAGTATTGATGTTGAATTTTGTAAACATGTGATCTACATGTAACAAGATCCCAGTAATCAGTCAATCACAATGACATAATACACTTATATTACAAGCTCAGCAAAGGTGAGAAATTTGTTACCTGTTGCTGTTGTGTATTGCTCTCATATTCCTTGGTGAGATCTCTGTTCTCCTTCTCCAATTTCTGGGCATGTTGGCGGGATGCTTTCAGTTCATCAACCTCGATGCAGAGTTCTTTCAGCTCTCGTTCTAGTTCCGTTTGTGTGTGCTCCTGAAACCATCAACAGTTTGATATACTCACAGGCATATGAAGAACATGCCTTCATGTGAAGACAATTAGAAGATAATGAATTCTATTGGTTTACAATCTGTTATGGCATCTACATTTTCAAAATTCTTCACAGATGATGCTGATACGTTTTTTAAAGGCATGTATGGGAGGAACAATACCTCTGATGATATAGTTGTGGTTATGTACAATGTAGAAACTAGAACATATATTCTCATAGACTAAAATGATAAGGTGAAACAATTTAGGGAGCTAATATTAATACTCACTGCATCATGGTTGATGTTTCCATTTTCTTGTCCTTCGGCTGACTGAAAAGTAGCGTTCAGCTTTTCTTTGGTGTTTGCGATGGCCCCCACCAAGTTGCCATTGATAGTAGTTTTCTGAAAATATAAAGGATGAATTAATGAACAATCAACTGTATACAGCGTCAGTAATGCAATTCACAACTACTGTATGCCTTTTCTGTGTGGCAGAAATTTGACACATTATAAAAAGCATGGTTGATTACAAATTAACAAACCTCTAGTGCAGTAAACATACACACATGTACCTTATCAGCCTTCAGCATTGCCCTGTTTTCCAAAGACCCGCAGTTCTGTTGGTGTCGAATATCTACCTTTGGGGACAAGTCAAACTCCGGTGAGGGGTGGATTTCTGAAGTCTCCATCGATATCTGTACTTGATGGGCGCTGGTTTAAGTCAATCTTGGAAGGAAAAAATTCAGTCAAAACACACATCACAATCACTTTGAGTAAACAGCATAGCGTATTTGCCTTACTATTGACCTTTTAAGTCTTCAGTCCTTCCAAATTAACATGTACAGATTTTCAAATACATGTATTTTATATGTCTACCTCTGAGCCTGTTCTCCAGACCTTTTTGGTGGCTAAGAGGCCATAAGATAGTATCAAACGGCAGAGCAGTATCCAATACACCACAGAAGGCTTCACCGGAAAAATTCCGAATTTCCGGTACAAAAAAGCCCGAAAAGAACGCCTAAAACTCATCAAAAAGAAGCTGAAGTCTAAACCACTGCTTGGAGCGTACCTGTGGTACCTGTGGCCACGTACAGCCTGTAGTAAACAACCACTTCCTCCCAATGAGAAGTGTGCAACTTGAGTTTCCATTATTAGTAGTCCGATTATGTAATCGGAAAGTCCCGCCGGTTACTACTTATAGTAACGCCAGGTAATGCAAGTTTCCGCGGGCCCCATGATCATCTGACCTGAATCCTGTTTCAGTGACGTAGTTTCGTTCCTGATGTTGTGTCTCATTGTTTTGTCAACCAGAGCGCAAAAAACGAATATACTATAGTGTACATGTATAAGACTGTCGCCCGATTGAGACACATCTTGATGAATTTAATAGTCGACTACCCTAAACCGTCTTGTATCTAATTCAAATTATGATATGAATGATCAGAATTTGACAAAATTTTTGTCCGCCATGAGAGGCAAATTTCCGTCAAATTAGGGGAAATGGACGTAGACGTTCAACAACGTTCAACGCGTTCCGAACATTTGTATATTAACATAGTCTCCCCACTATAACCTCCTTGCATAGTCAAATTCGATTTAAGTAGTCACACTGACATAAACTGTTGCAAATTTCTTGGTGTAGTCGAACTCACATGGAATTGTGTGGCTGCCATGGCCAGGTCTCTGTGATGAAATCTATTTGTGAGTCATATTTATGATTAGATAAACAGGGAGTGAACTTTCCTACCTCGGGGGACGTCTTCACGGACTCCCCTGTGAGTCCGTCGCTGTAGGGTTAGGTTCCTTTAAGCTTTGCCACTCGTTCCTTGGTACACCAGGACACTGCCGAAGCGCTGACCGACGGTGGCGGCTACAGTCTAGTCGCGAAATTTCTCGACATAAATGTAGTTATAATTGGTGCGTACCTATATTAGGCAACCAAACACCTTTCGTCACACAAAGGCAAGTGTGAAAAACAAGTCTAAGTTCACTTCCGGGTCGACTTGTTGAGAACGAAACGTCGACTTCTGAAATTTACGTCCCTTAAGGAGATTTTAGTCCGATCAATGAAGACGTTGTTGCTCGCTGCCGAACGCTGAAGAAACTATCGGTTGGCCTCCACTTCTCCGTAGTTCACATGTTAGTTCATTAAGGGACTTTCCAACTTATTTCTACGTCCACACGTCAGAGGTACATTTAAGCAGGTGGTTAGAGGAACATTTTTCCTGGCCGGCCATTGGCTGGTGCAGTAGACACGTGATCATACTCACGACGTCACTGCATTGCACTGCCTCTAAAAACAACAATTCCTCACCATAAGAACAAGATATTAACACCCAAAAATGACAACATAATAAGTAAAATGCATGAAAAAATTATATCTGGCAAAGCCAGGAATATTCTTGAAATAGATTTCGAGAGTTTTGGCTCTTATTCTCTTTTAAACAAACATTTGAATCGAAGTGGGGTATGGTGCAATACCGGGGCAGAAGAATGGAAATCCCCATGACTCACACGCGCACTGCAGAAACCTGCTCCATCCAATAGTTATTCTCTTTTCGGGTGGGGATTTCCGCCCAGCAAACCTGTTTCAACACGCATCGCGTAGCTACTCAGTACTGAGAATCAACAACAAGGTGCGTATGTTCCTTTTTCTTGTTACCGTGTGTGTATGCTCTTGCGCCATACATGTACATGTACCATGCCGTAGAATTACAACGTGTCCGCGTTCGTACCGTACCTGTATGATATACCCCAATTAAAAACGGGGTGTAATATATGCCTACTATCATCTATTTATTTAGATTCCTCTCGAAACGATTCAGTGTTCACTATGATGCACCATATACTGACTGAGTCATTTGTAGAAATCGGCCCAATACCATGTCACGGATACAAGTACATGTAGACAAGAATCATGCGTTCTGTATTTTTACACTACTTGCTATAAAGTATCAAAACTACTAGTAAATAAATTTCATATGTACCATTATCCTTACTGTCAATATTTGTTTACAGTTGGCTAGGCTCTGAGCGTTCAGGCCCGTCCAGTCTAATCAAATAGTACGTATTCTTCTGACATTCTTTGATTTTTACCACCAGGAAGTGGAAACTCCTTATCTCCAAGCAGATATTGGAAAGGAAGATCGTGACATTTTCTTTTCCGTTTTTAATGACGGAATGCGACAAGTCTTCCCTTCCAACTTCTGCTTGGAGATCACTCCTTCGTTAAAACCTGCGGCCAACTTTAGTGAGCAGTTGTGATGTCGCTGTTATGATGCAACACAAAATCGTAGATATATATGAAGGCTAACTCACTGAACGTTTTATCACAGGAATCATGGGGGTGGTACTCCGCGTTCACTCAAGTCCCTTCATCCTGACGTTCTTCATCTGCGTTCTCATCGTTTTCTTCGAACGACAGGACGCAGCCCCTGTTGATGGCTTTCGGGAGGCCATGAGCAGCACTGTCTGTTGTAGTCTCTGTGTGAGTACTGCAGGTTGTTAGCCTCCTGTGCAGGCCCGGCGGCGGTGGAAAAGAGTTTTTAACGCGTTATTTTAATATAGCCGGCCATCCTACATAGCCACCGAGAGAAGGTTGGGCGGAATGGAACCTTCTCTCGGTGGCTATGTAGGATGGCCGGCTATATTAAAATAACGCGTTAAAAACTCTTTTCCACCGCCGCGGGGCCTGCACAGGAGGCTAGCAGGTTGTGAAGTAACTGAGATTTGACCCCGTTTATGAGAATTCGAATCTCAATTTCAACAGTGTAGTGAGTAGATGTAGATAAACGCTTAGAGACTTGTACGTAAGTGTACTTGACTATATGTAGGGTCTCATCGTGGGATGACCACACAAATAAAACGTTTTCGTATCCAATCTGCCTTGTAGCGAGCGTTGGTCATGGAACATCGACAAAGACATCGCTTGTCCACGGAAATCAGAACAATGACAACGGCTGAGTTAAATGTTTTGTGCAACATTCTAAAATCTTTTACGGGATTATTCTTGTTTTACACTTAGCTCTTTATGAACCAACATATAAACAGGAACAGAAATGTTTCTTTTACTTTTTACAGGTTGCAGAACAATGTGGTTCCTATGTAAGGAACCACATTTCTGGGAATTCCATGCAACGCGAGCCCCGCCCGCACCAAGGCATAGTGACGTAGGTATTGCACTAGCCTCCTTCGCAGACTTGTGAGGTGGCGGCATTAATTTTTTTCGGAGAGCGACGCGAGTTATGCCACGAAGGGACGGTTTTGTCGCCGAGGGACTTTGCCTGGGAGAGAAGGTTTGGGCGGC